GTCAAAGATGCAAATTAGGCAAGAGAGGAGAGTACGATTTCCGGTTTAGAAAAAAGCAAAACAGAAAAGAAGCGAGCTAATCCGGTGCGCTTGTCGAACAAAGCCCATGTATATTCGATATCCGCGACTTTAATTTTCGGTTCGACCAGGAGAGGTAGAGGGAAGAAAAAAACGAGAGCGTTCGTAACGAAGGTTAGAGAAGAGGCGAGAGGAGAGCGGAGATGGAATAAAAAAACAATGGAGTCAAAGAACGCTGCATAAAAGAGAGCGAGAGAGGCGCACGCGACGAGAGACCGGACGTTCGGGGGAGGAGGAGCGCAGTATACACGTATACCGGAAGTAGCCGCCCTTACGACGCAATTAAAAAAGAGCAAGCCTTGGCTTTCACCCCGGCCCCACTGCATGTCCGTTCGATGCGGGGCACACATCGCCAAATAATATTTGTACGCCACGCTACTTTCTTTCTTCTTCTTACTTGTTCTTGGCGAAAGTGGCGCGCGAGGCGGAGGCATTGCGAGCAAAGTTACTTTGGGCAAACTTGCGCCAGCGCTCGGCCGGGCTGTTTTTTTCTCTCTCTCTCTCTCTCTCTCTCTCTCCGGTCTTTCCCTGCAAGTGGAGAGAAGCCAAGACAGACGCCAGCAGCTCTCTGGGTGCAAGTTTTCGCATAATGCGACGATTTAGCGCTGCCTAGGAATTTATCGTCTCCGAGTACTTTTTCATGATTAAAATGCCAACGAGCTTGGAATAATGGCGCGCAGCATATACGTTCTCGGGTATGGAACTTGAAAGAAATCCTTTATTATGCTCTCTCCTCGGCCCCGTCGCTTTCTAGGCGACTTAGCATCGGTCGATCCGCGGCGCATTGCCAGGAAAAACGCTCGCAAGGGTTAATCGCGACGACGATAGGCGGAGAGCGTCCAAATGATTAACAATAAAAATTGGTGGAAATCGCGAGCCTCTTATAAAGGAATCGTAAAGCCGACCATAGAGAAGTTTCGGCCAATTATTAACGGCAGCTACTCTTAAGGGGGAGCTAGAGTTTAACGATACCTGGAATTACTGCGGCGCGGTAGCTGCGCGCCGAGAGTTACGAGCGGCGCGCTGAGCTGCGCGCAATTCATCAAATAATGGCCAACAGCTGTCGATCTTCGCACTCTCTGGCTCGCCTATACGTATATATATGCATGCGTTCATCTTCCAGAAGCAACACACAATGCCAAACGACGACGACGACGACGACGACGACGACTAGGCCCTTAATTACACCTGCGTTTATTTCACATCGACGGGTTTTTTTCCGCGAGTCGACTGCGGCTCTTCTGCTCGATAGCCTTCTTTCCACGCGCTTGTATGACCGCCTTTTGTCCCGCGGTCTTGGAACGCCGTCCTTCTCCAAGGCACGATCGAGCCGGAGAAAAGTCGCGATAAACATGGAGAGCGATTTAATAAAAGATCGCGTTGCAGGGCTCCACGCCGACAGTTAACGCAAGCTCGCACTCTTTACGGCCCTTTAAAAGTCACTTCAACACCTCGCATTGTTATTACAGATAAACATCGCGATTTTCCGCAGTACCGTTAGACCTTGAGACGAAAAAGTAATTTATATGCTAGAGAGAAAGAGAGCGAGAGAGAGATCGCCTCTCCTCCTTTTTTTTCGGTTTGGGAGCGCTCTCTCGCTTATTTACCGAGAGACGAGAGAGGAGGGACTCGTTTATTTTTCTCCCCCTCCCCTCCATCCCCGACGGCGGCGACTCTAAAACACGAGAAAAAAAGGCGCGCTCCCTCTTTCTCCTCGTGTCACACGGAGGCAGAGAGCGAGGATGCGATAAATTTCGCTAAATTATAAGCCTCGCTTAATATCTTTGTTCTTTGTCGGTATTAAAGCTATGCGTGCATGACGAATACCAGCGGCCATCGCTTCTTCGCTTCTTCGCTTCTTTGCGCGAGCGCGAAAATATCGAGCATTAGAGCTGAGCGGCGAGCTGCACTCGTTCGGCCGACAATTAGGAGCACCCAAATTCCCGCGTCTCGTTATATCCGGTGATCGATCGCGCGCGCCAGGCGAGCGCGCACCGAAAATCTGCATAATTAAGAGCTCGCGCATTTGACATTGTTGTCGCTGCGATGCTTGCCCGCCTCTGACTTATCGGCAAAGGGATCGATCGTTTTCGATTCGCCGGCTCGCCTTGGGCTGCAGCTCGCTCGAGTGGCTTTCAATGCAAAATTGGTAAATTACGGTAACGAGGGAACTTGCTTTCGACAGCAGACTGTACCGCGAGCGAGCGAGCGGAATTAACACGCGAAAGTTTGACCGGTGCTATGCTGCCGCCAGTGGATCTCAATTTACAGTCACCGGCGCGATGCAATGCTTGTCAGCTGCTTTTATTCCTTTGCGTATGAGACACGTCGTACGTGCCTGTCTCGGCGCAGTTTCGGTCCAACGACAGGATCTCGGATTCTAGTCGGGCTACTTTGAAAATTCGTTTCATCGCTACTAAGCTAATCAATTTACGACCGTTCGACCATATTTTTGTTGTTTATCGCTGGATAAATTACGTCATTAATTATCGCACCGGGGATTATTGTCTGTCCCTCGCAGAATTGCTCGTTTGTTTTTTTTCAGCGGCGTGGAATTGAGCGTAACTGGAAAGGTCGGCACTGCGACGACGACAAACGAGAGGGTAGATTTAGCGGAGCGCGAGGAGAGACTGTACTGAAATAATGTACAGTAAGACGCAAAAGGGGACGGGACGAGGAGGAGACGACGACGACGACGACGACGACGACGACGACGACGACGACGACGACGACGCAGAGACGAGAAATATATATACATGTGCGCAGACGGAGGCAGTGCTAGCGCGGAAAGCCCAACAGTGCTTTGCTACTGCTGCTGCTGCTGCTGCTACTGCTGCTGCTGTAAAGCAGATTAACAAACAGAATGAGCCGACGCATAATCGTATTATTCCTAGCTAAGTTGCATTTAAATTAGACAGAGAAATTCTCCATTTAACGAAACAATGCCGCCGACGGAGCTATGACGAGTCACCACCGCCAACGCGCGCCTGCGTTTTATGCAGATCCGAACTAACTTTTATATTACAAAGTCTAATCCGCGAGAGAGAGAGAGAGTTTTAGTTCTTTCGCGCTGCTTCCGCGAAAATCCGCGAAAGGCAAATATTTGAACGGAACGCGGGCGTGTGTTCCGATCGAGTTTGTTTTGCCAATCGTCGCGCACAACATTATTGCACTTTGCGACGCGGGCGCGAACAATTAATCCGGTAGCTCCGCCAAGTATCTTTAAACGCCGAGCTCGAGAGTGAATTGGATATTGGTGGTAAGCTGATAATCCCTCATTACGCAATGTGAATTCACGCTTAATGGAACTCGTAAGTAATAGGCAGTTTTTGCACGACAATCGGCTGCGGAGCAAAGAGGAAAACAAATTTTACACCAATTATCCACGCTCGATTTGACTGGCAACACTTCTCTCTCTCTCTCTGGCGAGGCATTTACATACGCGACGGCATCTCGTTAACAAGCCACAGTGGAGCGCTGACATAACTGGCCAGCTATAACACACAACTAATCAAATAAAAAAAAAATAAAAATAAAAATGAAGTAGCTCGTTTTCCAAACGTCTAATAATCTCTGACCGCTGATCGGAGGCGCTAATTTGTGCCGGTTCAAGCTGTCATGTACATATCAGATTGATTCATCTGGACTTTCGATAGATACCAGAGAGAAACATTCCGAGCCGCCGCTGCTGCGGCCGCTTGCAAAATAGTACGCAACCTTCCTGACGCCTATCTCTGACGCTGGCGCGCGCTTTTCAATGCTGCAACGGATCCTCTTTTATTGATGCGTCTTTGATGAGGCTAATTACGCTTCCATACGACCATTCTCCTTCTCTAAGATACCTATTACGCTATTACGCGCCACTGCTGCTGCCGCTGCCTCGCCTTCCTTTTTTCACGCCGCAGCACGCTCGTCTCCTTTCTCATCTGCGTCCGATATATTCTTTATCAGGCGTGAGCAATCAATTTTTAAATAGACGCGCCTGCCGCTGCGCTGCGCGATTTTAAAAAGGCTGCTCCCGTTCGCTCGTAGGAGCTTCCTACGACTGTGTTAACGCAAAGGGAACGAGATCCGAGGTCGGTGCGACAGAAACGCTGGAAATGTACGCAAACCCATTGCCGCGTGTCACGGCGTCTCGCCCAGAGCAGCGGCAGCCTCCCTCATCTCCGGACTCGAGCGCGCGCGCGCGCGCGGAGATAGGATTATCGATTACGCGGCCGCGAAGCTATTTGCCTCCGAAAGCTCGCTCCGCTCCGCGGAGCTTTCGCGTAACGGATCCCGAGACAATCGGCCACGATGCATTTTCATTTGCGTTCGCTTCTGGATAGGCAGTGAGTCAGCGGAGTGTCATCGGGCAAGCGAGCGAGGCACCGGGGAGCGCGCGGCTGATTATGGCGGTGCCTTATCCGCGGGACAATGCGATTGTTTTTCCATCTGATCTACGTGTGCCCGTCCCCGCGCGCGTGCGGACGCAACTCCCCAGGGATACGTACGTTGGGCTTACGGGACGTGCGGCTTGGCGCAACAAAGGCCTTCGGCGCGGAATTTGCCGCGCGCGAGATGTGCGCACGCATTTTGCGTACTATTCTCTGCGCACATGCGAATAATTCGAAATTCGAGTATCACCCTGCTGCCCGTGGCGGTTCGTCTAATCGAATCTGCAGTTGCGTTATTTAAATTTCGACGCCGAGAGCTTCCTCTTTGTATTTTTGCCACTGAATATCGCTTTCTTTCTCTCGCCGTCGATCGCCACGGATTTCGGAGGCAACTCGAGCGTGAAAGATTGCACGAAAATGAGCTCTGCGTAGAGCTGCTATGATTAAAAGATAAATAGTGGCTCGTAACGCGCCACATCCACATCGATGGAAAATGTACGAAGCGAAAATGTAGTTGCTTTGAGAGAATGGTTTTGACGTGTGTACCTGAGGCTGACCGCCGACAATGGACTGATAAGCCGAGTGGAAGACATGGCCGATCTGCGTGAGGCCCTCGTCCTCCATCTGGAACATGATGTCGGCTTGGGGCGAGCCGTTGTTGTTGAGGTTGTTATTGTTGATCAATAGCTTCTCGGCGTTGTCCACGTCGCGCATTATCGTGCCCGGTTGCATGATCTAGAGCCGCTCATCGAAATACACATAAAGCGCCCGCACCGCCGGCTCTGCCTGCTGCATGCACCCTCACCTACGTGTGCGCTCCTCCTCCTTCGCTACTGCTCCTGCTTCTTTGCAATACATGCACTGCACGCTCGTTTGCTCTCACAGCAACGCGATACCTCCTCCTCGTTCTCTTTATTATCGTACGTACATGTACATTAAGCAGAAACACGCGCGCACAACGCAGTCGTCATCTTTTCGCTGGCATCATCATCATCATCATCATTCTCATTTTTTTGAGTTCACTCACAACAATAAACCAGAGGGATGTTGACGTGCGCGCTAATCAGCCAAAAACAACACTGTCGCGCGCGCGGAATTGAGGTTAGAGCCTCGCATATAGAGAGAAAGAGAGAGAGAGAGAGAGCGCGCGACAGAGAAAAACGGATATACACAACGAGCACAGCAGAAATATGAACCCTCGTACTCGTCGGATGAACGCGACGCGACTGACGCTCCGCCAGCGAGGGGAGCGCTGCGCCCCTCCCCTCCTCTCTCGCTCGTCGTCTACTCTCCTCTCGCTCTCCCACTTTCGCTGCGCGCTCGCGCTCCCCTACTAGCCCCGCGCGCGCCGAATAATGTTGCTGCGGAACTCCCTTTCGCGCTTTGCACGCACTGCTCCCGTTTCCTACGTTTTTTCGAAAAGTCTCATTTCGCTAGCTGTTTCGCTGCGTGCAAAAATACGAGTGCTCCTAGCCTCGAACGTAGATTATCGCGGAAAAAAAGGAGCAAGAATATAAAAAATTGGAGTTGCCGAGTCTTGGGCCCCGTTCGAGGCTTTTGTTCGGGTGTTGCGCGACCCCCCCCCCCCATCCACCGCTCCAGCATAGCGAAAGAGAGTGTCAACCCCTGCGAGGAAACACATGTACCGCTCATTGCTCAGCAGGCGAAACGCTCCTCGCGTTGCTTGTGCACTTTGCGCGCACGGAGCTGAGAGAGCGAGCAAGCGAGCGCCGCCTTAGTACTGTGCGTGCGGAAAACATCGGTCCACTTGTTGAGTCAAAAACCTCCTCTGCGGCTCTTCTCTGTGCGCACTACTCCCGAGAGAGAGAGAGAGAGAGAGAGAGAGAGCGGAAAGAGAGCAGCGGAAGAGAAAACCAGAGAAAGATGCGCGCCGCAATAATGCTCTTTATGCAACGCGCGTTTTTCGGACCAAACAACGTTGCGTTTTCCTGGATTAATAATTGCACGGCCCAGCTGACGCTGAGAAAGACTGTTTCTTCTTTTCCGATCCTTTTGTGTTTGTTACTATTATTGTTGTCGCAAAGAGCAGAGCACGAAACGGAGTGTCGATGCAGTACATACATTTGTGGTAAGTTTGCCAATGGATCCCGAGAGCACCTACTTCCTACACGTTGTGCTGAATCAATTATTTAATATCGACAACTAAATTCACGCGGTAGGCATGAATTCGTCGGTACGTCGCGCCTTTTCAACTTAAGTGCAATAAAAAAAGAGAAAGGCCCTCATAATTAAAGTATTGTTCGGCAATTGGTCCGAAAGGCAGAGATATTGCAGTCCGGCGTCTGTGCTCAAAGAAATCATAAATTCATCTGCGAAAAGAAAAGAAGCGACAGAGAGTGTCGCATTAAACTAATTGGACACGGAATAGTCAACTAAATTTCTCTCTTACGGATGACAAATGGATTTCCTTCGGGGGCATATAACGCTGTACTTAACCCCGCGTGTGCTTTCGCCATAGGCATATGACAAACGATAGAGTAGCAGCCTCTCGAGGTGCAAAAGTCTCTCTCGACATTGCCGTCGCCGTCGCAAAAGGGGACACACAGTGGAGAGAGAGGGAGAGAGAGAGAGAGAAGGGATATACAACCACTATACCACTGCTGGGCAGTGAACGTTCGCGCAGGTATAGACCAATTTCGCAAGGAGCTTCTCTTCCGTACATAACGCGGCGACGCGACGACGAAGAAGAATAGTCGCGCGGAGAGCGAGCGGTGCAGGCTCATTAGTGATAATGACGATGACTTCGCTTCACTGCTGCTGCATTCTCTCTTTCTCTCTTTCTTTCTCTTCTGAGGCTGTTTAGAGCGCAATGCGGAATCGCCGTTGCTTCTTTGCTCTCCTGGTGGCAGCGGTGCGGCCAATGCTCGTCTCGTGCGCGTGCTACATGCGTTCGGTATTATTGAGAGGTTCCACGCGCGCAGGTGAAAGGTCCTGCCTGCTGCTTGCTGCATTTGATGTGTTTACGAGGGAGGCGTGTATTACTGTCGCTGATTATATGCGCCTGTGCGCTCGTGTGTTTCCGCGCGCGTATACTCGTGTAGCTGCTTTCGGCGAAATAACACACACGCACACACATATGTACACACACACACACACACACACACACACACACATCTAGCACGAGCGTTAGAAAGCTCTCACAGGCGTCTAAATACGATAGCGAAGAGGGGCAGATAAAACAGCACGACTCTCTCGCCTGCGTGTATATCTCTCGTCGAGTGGGCGTTCTCGTCAAGTCAAAAAAAGAAAAAAATAAAAGAACTTGTATTATCGTTTTCGACTGTTCTTAGCTACGCGCAGGTAGCTATAGATAAGTCATCGTAAAACAAAAAAATAATGCGGAAAATTGTCAATTATCGAGAGGCGGTTTCCATCGGAATTGGATCGCGCGAAGTAATTGCGGCTAAAGCAAAACTTGAACGGCTTATAAGCCGCGCATTCGTGGGCAGCGAAAACAGCATCAATCAATCAGCCATGGGGAAATGCATCACATACCTCTTAATTGCAGGAGAGGGAGAGAGAGAGAGAGAGACATGCGCGAAAATAGACGAGCAGTAACATCGCCGTCTATACTCGGAAGTTGCTGGGTAATTTTAGTGTAGCGTACTTGCCGACGGGGTCTTTATAATTAACTCCTAATCTAACCGAATCTCTAACCTATTTGGCTAAAGACACGGGTTCCAGTTTTTCGAACTACGTATACACTTTCGAATCGTCTTGCGATTCAACATTATCCAATTAATTTTTTCAACTCTCTTGAAGGACGTTACGCTTAAAATTAAACATGTATCTTTGCATTTCTGTAATCTGCAGACATACGGGTATGATTTACGAGTTATCAATAATCTTATCTGAATAAATTTGCTTATCATCGTAAGTTCTTTCAATGGATAGTCACGATCGAATCGAAGCAATAACGTGGAATTGCAATCGTTCGCCAATTTATTTATAACAGGCTCGCCGTGAAAGTATTGCCGAACAAAAGGGAAAAGAACTCGAGGGTGAAAACGCTGAAGGGCAGAGGCAGGACACCGAGAGCGGGCGTGCAGCGGCGAGGCTACTGGGACGAGACAATACGCGTAAACTTAAAGATCGGGCGAGACGTTAAACGATTAATCAGCGCTGGCTCGTAACGGCAAACTTGCAGGCTGAATGGCGTTTCTCCTCGTTCCCCTGCGCGCATTGGCGCGTGCGTGGCAGCGGCGGGCCGGAAACGCGCGCGGAGCGGCATATGTAGACGATCGATGACGATTAAAAGTTTAACTGGTGTTTACTCAAGGCTAAATTAACTTAACCGTGGAACCCGCGCGCTCTTGGGAAAGGATGTTTTGCGGCCAAGACGGCACGGACTTTAATGGCTTATTATAGGCCAAAACTCTCCCTAGTCGCGCTTATTAATCACGCCCGCGATATTAATTCCAATCCCTGCCTGTGTATTTCTATTTATAAAGTGATCGATTGCCGCAATCGCGTTTGCATAATTTTCGATGCTCAATATTGCGCGTCGCTTAGAACACCCCCCCCCCCCCCTCCTAACAGTTCCCCTTTCCGATAAACGGCAGACAATAATGGAACGATGAAATAAAAATTGATATCGACATATAGCCTTAATTCTTTTTTCGAATCGATATCGATGATCGAATGTCGCTTTGACGTTTCTCCGCGTGATTCATTTACCGACCGGGAGGGGGGGGGGCACCACCTCGCAGCCGAGATTGACTTCGCGCCTGTCGTTTGCGCTAACTCGCATTTATTGCAGCGAGGTCTCGTGCACCGCGTGCAACGTCGTCGACACCTGAGCTGGGAGTCTCGGAGTCTGCGCGCGGACGCTAATAGGATAACTTGCCGCAGAGCCATAAACGAGCGAGACGGTGGCGCTCAAAAGTCGCCGAAAATCCGCAAGTACAAAATTTACGACGGTCGGAGCGATCGGCGACAAATCACTTCCACGGAACGCCTACCGATGGATTTACAGGCCCAACCACTGCGCGACTTTTCGTTGGCTCCATTAACTTCCGAGGCTTCGGACACCTTCACGAATCGGACGAGCGCCACTGGTGCAGGAGAATTATCAAGTCGGCGCCCTGTCGTCCGCGAGAAAGAAATACGAATCCACTCATAAAGGCAGATTCACAGCCTGGCATGTGCGCACAGCAACGACATCGTCAACACATGTAGGCAATTAACGCGCCGAGTTCGAAAGCTACCTGCTGTTCTCTCGTCCTTCCTTCGTTGGTTAACCTGCGCGTATATAAGCCAGCAGCTCGTCAAATGCCTATAAGACAAAAGTGCATCCTGACGAAAATAACAAAAAAAAAAATCAAAT